ATCAATATATGAGGCATTCAAAATCCTCGCTGCGTTGCAACAATCTTTAATAGAAATATCTTCAAACATCATTCATTGTCTCAGACGTCTTCGATCTAATCGTAAGTGGTATTCATCTTCTCAAGTCAGCTATGTCCAGCTGTGCCATATTCCGTAAGAAAATCTATAATAACATCAGATCAGGGGATCTTAGTGTTCATTTCATGGAGCCTCTCTTTTCTCCACCCCGATTTGTAAATTCAAGGTACTCCCGGACAATGATTTGAAAAAGGAGACATATCAATCATATCATAATCGCTGGATTTTGTGGTTTACCGGATTAGGATATGAGTTTGTTTAAGTTGACACGGTGCTGAATGATTATCGACATCTGTAATTGGTCTGGGGATTTTTCCCAGACCATGTGTGAAGCTTCACTCATCAAAAGTGAAGGTTAGCACGTTGTTATTCAACATTGCAATCATTCGTTCACAAAAATACGGTCTCTTATCAAAATCGTTTTCGATGATCTTTCAAGTTGGTATCATTTCAAAGAGATGCATTTCATTTTCTTTCAATTACCGATGAATGACTAACGTCGAACATTGGGGCTGCTTTTGGACTAGAAGTAAGTGGGTTCTCCATAAACTCAAGCAGTTTGGTATTATCATTTATTGTATTGAATTGACAACTGCTTTTTCATCAACCTTACATTTCTAGGCTCACGAAACTGCATGACAATGCATTTTCTCTTGCTACCCGCAGTGTCCGGTAATACTTGAATGAAGTTGATATTATCCAGATGACAGAGCCATTGCACAGTCCCGATTTCAATCCCATTGGACACATTCCGGGCAGGCTTGATAAAATCTGTTTAAAATCTGTTTTTCTGTTAATGAGCTGCTTTTTTATTTTATTGATTGTTCCTTGGGATACAACCACCAAATTCATAATTTTTTCATAAGATAAGCGGGCCTTCATGTCCGTGTGTTATCTTCATAACCAATCATTTGTGTATTTCTGTTGAATAAATTATGTTTTGATTTGCATTCAACGAAATTCAAACGACTATAACTTTGACAACTACTGTCATGCAGTCAGACAATAATTTACTAAGGCCAGAAGGTTTGAACTTTAAACTGAAGTGAACAAAACTATGTATCATTTTTTTTCACTCCATATCAAGAAAAATGAACGATAAAGTGCATTTTTCTTACTTTCCCATGGTCAAGACCTGAACAAAAAATAAGTAATGAGTGTGAAACACGAATTTCTATAATCAAATAATTACTCTTTACTATTCATTTTTCCAATGAATCCAAAAATACTTTCCAAATGTGGAATCTTGTATATGGAATATGAAAATATTCAGAATATTCGGGATATTCTCATATTTCATAAAACACCTTGTATAAAAAGTTTTTTGTGAATAAAATGCACAACTAAAAATACAAGTGTCCGAGCGCTTATCGAAGAATTTGTTCCATTTTGGCTGATAAACACTATTTGGAGTACGCCTCAACTTCGGGAGATAGTTGGTTCACAGATGGATCAAAAACCCCTTTCGGTTCTGGTGCAGGTGTTTTTAGTCGCAGACCCAGGACCCAGAGATATCTACCTGCCTAGGAACTTATGCGACTGTATTTCAAGCGGAAATTTACGCTATTGAATTGTGTGCAGAGAGATTGGATAAAACCAACCTCACACAAGTCAATAAAAATATTCTCGGACAGTCAAGCGGCGTTGGAAGCTCTTGGCTCCCACCGAGCAACGTCTAAATTGGTAGCAAATTGCCAAAAACGACTCTCCTCGATAGGAAGACTTAACAGATTGTCTCTGGTCTGGATTCCTGTCCATACTGGCCTGGAAGGCAATGAAGCTGCTGACTCTCTTGCAATGGAGGGTGCAGCAATCGGCTTCATCGGACCAGAACCTGTCATTGGCAAATGAACATTGAACACCTGGATGGCAAGAAGATTTATGGACTTCCGGCATAATCTTCCAGGATTGGCTCACTCCCTGGCATTTATTCACCCTTCGAAGCTTGATACCAAACAGTTGTTGGACTAGAGTAGGGATTTACTACGATGTCTAATAGGCCTTCTAACAGGTCACTGTCATTTGAATCATCATATGCAGAAACTTGGACTGTCGAAAGACAGTGTGTGTCGCCTCTGTTTGGAAAATGATGAAACAGCAGAGTATATACTTTGTGCCTGCTCCGCTGGGAACCGAATCAAGTTTTCAGAGTTCGGCAGAGCCATACTCGTACCATCTGACCTGAAAGACCACTCACCATACAAACTCTTCAGCTTCGTCAAGAAGCTGGGTTTATTTGGTCGAGTGTGAATAGGTGTGAGCCACAATAAACCCTTGCAAGTTGCGGTGGAGAGTCGAATAGACCCACTCACTTTAGACCCAACCTAACCTAACGCCTCAACTTTTACCAAAAAAAATACGCTCATTCAAATGTATGCTTTAGTTATTTTTAAAAACACCAATAAATGAAAAGCAAACTTAGAATTCATTGTAAACTATAGAATGTGTCGATGTATATGATGAAATAATTGAAGCGACTAACTGAATTGATGATAATGGGAATTTTGAGTTTTCGAATTTGACGTCTATTGGTGACAACTTGAACAATATGCCGTAAATAATTATAGTATTCATAAATGTAAAAAGTTACTTCTGAAAATGTTGCGAGTAGTAATGAATGGGAAATTTTGCTGCAAATTCAGCTGCGTTTCTAGTAAATGATCAACAATGCAACTGGCATGGATTTTCACTGTGAATAATTGTGGATAATAATGAAAATGCTGTCAGCGATATGTGACACATACGTTTGATAAATGCAGATTAAAAAACGAATTAATTTTCCACATTCCGTTTTTAATCGTATTTGTGTGATGACAGTGTTGGATTTATATCTCAACATAACCACGTTCCATGCCGTATACCACATTGAAGTAAAACCTTACTGAGTCTCCGTTACCATCGAATGTGCAGAATGGAAAAATGAAAATTTTACGGTGATTCTCAAGTATCATTGAACGTACATGTTCTATCGATTCAATTCAAAACCATGATGTAACTGTGTATTTAAACCAAACATAAATTGGAATTCAAGACATAAACTGTCTTTTGATATTGCTTTCAGCTCAAACGATATATTCAACGAATTTGTTCAAATGAATTTTGATGAATCATTACATATCGTCCAAATAGGACAACCCTTTTATGTTGTTCAGAAGTACTATTCAAACGTCTTTCGAATATTTTTATTCACTGTTGTCCATTAAGAAACTGTACATTCGATGTTTCATTTGATGGTCAAAGGGCGAATGAAAGTCTGAATTGTGAAAGAATTTAATAATGGACCTATCTCCGGAAAGATCTACTTAATTTTCTACTTAACAATGGTACTTATTCCCAATCAACATTCATATATGAAATTCTTCTGAATGGACTTCTTGAAAAAAGTTGCACTGAGTAAATTCAATTAATATCATTGTTGTATCATGACAATAAAACTAGTAGCGAAATGCGCCAGTGTATTAATGATAATTCCTTTCAAAGAATAGCTCTTGACGTTATAAAAATAACGAAAAAAATATTTCATTGAATTTTGAAGTGTGAGTCAGTAAATTTAGATTGATTAGGTATCATGCTTCATGAAAATTAACCCAATAATAGAATCAATGTCAAGTTACTCTTCATCTTTTCAAGGTATATGATATGATTGATATTCTGCGGAAAAAATATTCGTCATAGCAGAAAATGTTCCTGATAATTCCCTAATGATTAGGGAATTACAGTTTGTCAAGAATAGGAAAATGGGTGAAATTTTTGCCCCCTGCGCGTAACGAAGAGCTAGAAAGCATTCGGAGGAACAAAGATTCACAGATTAAAGTTGTCTTTGCTTAGTTTAGATGTAGAGTCTCCTAAATAAACTGTAAAACCAAAGTAATAAGTCCCCACTATTAGTCCGTCTCATTATTGAATTCAAAATAATTTTGGTCAAGACAGGAAATGAGGGCTATAAAGATAACTTGTTTAATTATGGGATTAGTATTCTTTTGAGTTAGAAAATTATGAACAATGGTTATGCCATTAATCAGAGAAATGTTTGGAATAAATAGATAAAACTTGCTTCGAATTAGAAGGTTGCTTTTATTTCAAGCTCTTTCTTGAATTATTTTACAGGTTTATTTTAGGCCGATTCTCGTTGCATAAAAAATTATATTGGCTATAACTTCCCCCGTTTGACTTGATTTAGGTTTGATTTAAACTCCATCCTGGATAAGTTACAATTCTCAAATTGTACCCTTTTCGCTTTATTTCTGCTCGGATTGTACAATCAATTAACCCGCGATGCTCACTTCACAACGGACAAATCAGACTGACTGGGCTGTGGACGTTTCCACTTCTGTCTTCTGCGCACAGCTAAGGCGGTCTCAAATTAAGATTTTGAAACTTTTTCCTATTCTTACCAGAATTTATGAACTGATTAGGTCCTGATCAGTTCAACTATTCTTTAAAATTTCTATAAAGAACAACTTGATATGCAGTTAAACATAGCCCAGTATATTAAAAAAATCCTTATTGTAGCATTTAGGGAACAAAATTTGATTATTTGAAGTTATTCAGTTATGGTAGAATTGAAAGACTTTTTGATTTTGAAAGTTTAATGAATAGGATACCAACAAATTATTATAGAGAATGTAGTATCATTTCCATTTTCCAATTTTGATAAGAATGCTATTCCAGGAACATTTGACGATATTATCCAGGAGAAAGGTTCATTGATTTCTTCTAGATTTAAATATTATTTATTGGTTGAATACTAAAACTGATGACTTGACTTTCATTCACCTTGACATCTCTAACAAGCCTCTTCGCCCGTGGTAGTAGCTTTGACCATTCCGCATGCTTGATCTAACCCCGTGTGACTAACCTGTCGCCCTCCCCCGGCCCCCCCGGCGGATCTCTTCCAGCCACTGTTGTTCAACACGCTACAGGTCCGATCGGCTCTCGGCGCGGCCCAGAGACGGAAACTCTCCTTCAAGAATGTCTCCAACGTGGTGGTGCAGCTCCTCCACTCCATCAAGTATTCCATGGAAGTGCCGTTCTCCAACATTGCGCTGCAGTCCGATTTGAAGGCGACGAATGCCAGGAAGGTGAGTGATTTTTTTTAAGGATTTGAATTTGGAGGAATGGCAGTGGATAGTGAATATATAACAGTTGAAAGTTAGGTTAAAATAAATTGTGAGTGATGTTACTAGTTTCTTGAATGAAATGATATGTCCCAGTTTCTAACATGAAACGTTTCCAAACAAGGGTCCTAATATCTAACTCATTCAATGAATTCTTATGCAAAAATTTATAATTTTTTTAAATAGTCAATGAAGTTTAATATAAAAAAGGATGTTTCCCAGAACTGAAAGATTTCAGTTGATTTCTGAGAATCATAATTTTTGAATTGAAACTCATCAGTGCCATAATCTTTTCTTATTACTTTGAACTTTTGATCTTCGAACTGAATACCGATATATTTTTATGATTTTTCGGTTTGACACATTGTCGAATTTCTCTATTTTCCCAAATATATCCTCCTTGTGAAGTATTATATGGTCATTTCTGCTATGGAAATAACATAGTAACTCTAGGTGGTTGTAGATTCCTCAACAACTTTCAAATAGGTTTCTGCAATATCACAAAAGTAAACCCTAATAATTTTAATAACTCTTTATGTAACCAAGCTATTACAGTGATGAAGTGCCTGTCATCGTACTTAAAAAGTGCGCGAATGAACTCGCACCAGTATTNTAATTCTATCGGGTTTAACTCGCAATGGTAAGGAGGAAGTCTCAAAATGGTGATGCCTTCAGCACGAGCTATTGTATCCACCACATGCTGGCGATATCTATCACGATGCTGTTTAATGACACCCATGTCCTCGGAAAATGGATTTCTTTTTTGTCTCAACCAACTCTGCATGTCTGCTTTTATGGTGATCATAATTGGCAGCTGTTCTACTAATCGGCTGCGATAAGAAGCATAATCCATTACTATTACCGAATTTGGCTGAACCCGTGAAAGAAGGGATTCAAACCATCCTTCAAAGCGTTGGGCGTCCATGTCTTCGTAATAATCCCCCGTTTTTTTTTAATAAAAAAATTAGTGAACTATCATCTAAAAAGCCACTCTCGCTACCTATATGACCTTTCTATTAAGACAGATTTGCGGGATCGTTTGGCATATATAAATTTTAAATCATCTTTTATTATTTTCCTTAACTTCCCTTTACTCATTTTTGGAATGAGATCATTACCCATTACCTTTGTCCTAATGGATTCGAGGGTTGGCGCTTTAGTCTCAAAAAAGAAAGAATGAACGGTATAGCGTACAAAATTTTTCTGGTACTCGTCCAATTCAATTTTTTTTGTACCACGAGAATGTACTCTTGGAGCTTACAATATCCCAGTCACCTTTTTTCACGTACAATGCGTTCAACACTGGGCTACAGCTTCCACTGTACGAAGTGTATATGTCCCAGTTTCTAACATNTGCCAGATCTTAGATACTGTGTGACCAGCATTCACCCACGTTTCGTCCAGATAATAAATCTTTTTGTGAGCAGAACGCATTTCTCTAATAGAGCGAAGACATCTCCGTCCAATGTGAATCGCTAGTTTCGCACAGGCACCGCTCTGAGAGCACCTTAAGGATTTTCTTGTAGTGCTTGTGTTTTGTCCTTATAAAAATATTAGGGAAAAATGTATATTGACTTGAAAATAAGTAAAGGAACTAAACAAACAGACAATTTTAAATGGGGTCATCAATGAATCGTTTAATGAGAAATAATTAATTTTGAGGCGAAGGAAAGTTATTGTTTTTATATTTCTTTCTCTTTAAAATATATTATAAAGGTAATTAGAAAAATGTCATCATTCTCATATCTTTCAATTCAATCTTCCAATTCTTCTCCATTTTAATTTTTTCTGTTTGAAAAGTTTTCATTTCAATTTCGTGATCTGAAGAAAGTTCGTTGTTGATCATTTTCTGCAGTTTCTGGACATTCTGTTCATTTTCCGCAATCAATGCTATGTCGTCTTGTTTTTTCAAACAATATTGTCAAATAATCAACTGAGTCACATCAATATTCTTAACGTCTAGTTACTCTACTGGACTTTTAATTGTCAACATGGCATATGGAAAACAGACAAAAATATCACAATCAATCTTCAATGCCACTGATGGAAAATACTTTCTGTAATGAATTGGTTTGACTTCCAATAACTGTATTACTTGAATGTCGAGGAAAAATGCAAGAAACTTTTGACGTTCAATCATCTGATGTCAGCGTCAATCTCACAATCTAAAGATTCTATTTGACATTTAGTAAATTTAAAAAAAATTAAAATCTGTTAATTTTCAAGTATTCCAGAAGATTAAATTTCCAACCTTTCTCTTTCAGATATAATACATCATAGTCGTTGTTGGAGTCGTGTTCTTTTATTCATTGGGAAAAGGTTCTACCCGTTTGGTCAATATTAAGTTTTGGGCAAACTTTATATTGGCCAATATTAAGTTTTGGGCAAACTTTATATTGGCCAAACGAGGAGATTCTTTCCTCAAAGAATAAAAAAGCATAGGATTAGTTTTTTGAATGTGAAGACCAATTCTACATTTGTGAAACACAACTATGACAAATTTCATTTGAAAGAGGAAGATTTGAAAGTTAATATTTTGAAATACTTAAAAATTAATAGACTTGAGAATTCGGAAAAATTACTGGATGACCAAATAAAATTTAATCCTTCAACTCTGTTTTCTAATGTCTATTCAATGGTTTGGTAATTTTTTTGTAGTCATACCTGAACTCCGGAAAAATTATTAGTCATTGAGTAGGTGAAAGGTCATATAATTCAAAATGTTATCAAATTAATCACTAATTAGGCAGAATTGAGTCAGTATTAATCCATCTGAGAAAGCTAATGTATAGTGAAACAAGTGTTGCGGTTTTGTTAACTGTCCAATGAAAGTCTCACAATGAAGTGTTACTTCAATACGTTATGTATTTGCATCAAGTACAGTCCAATTCCATCACTTATCACTGTATTCAAAATGGAAGTAAGGTTTTAGAATGAAAATATTTCGAGAAAAAAATCAAGTTGTATTCCTAATGAAATATACCGCGACTTCATTTATATTTTCAAATCTGATGAATCGTCCCATTTGTCTCATATTTCTGCAATATTTCCACCATTCCAGTATTCACGTACACTACCAATTTAGTTCCCGTAAATTGGATGAAAACGGCTATGTTTGTTCGATAACCAACTTTCCCAGTAATCTCAACTTTGTCTAAACTACTGAATCATAGGTTTGGTGTATTCTTGGAAGCGTTTGCTGAATTTGATTTATCTGGCTAGACTTTATCAAGTCAGGCTCGGCGAGTTGTATTGATTTGGTATTATATAGGATTATAACCAGGATTAGTCGAAAAAAGATCAATTCCTTGAACACAAACGTGTGTAGCTCCCCAACCTTCGTTTGATGTTGCAGAATCAAGGCTGCTTGCAATGCAATCGGGCAGATGACTTTTTTTAATAGAAGCGAATATCTCATGGTATGCTTAGCGATGGAGGTTCATATACAGTGTCATCCCCAAAGTATGTACCATATGGGAAACTTATTCATTAAGGCTTTTTCAACAAAAAGTATTCTTGATAAAAGTGTGTCATCCCCTAAAACTAAACATGTACCAAAAACATACAGTAAAACACACCAAATATACGAGGAGCCTTCAAATATTTGATTTTGAAACAGGAGTAAAGTACTCAATAAGGCATTTACCTTGAATGAGTATTATTGTTTAACAGTCCACATAGGACATTCATCTTGAATGAATATCGGTTCTTGCACTCTATAGTGAAATAAGGGTTTTCTTAAAGCCCACCATCTAAAGTTCTGTGAACTTACTTTTCCGTCAGTTGTAAATGTTGCTTCATCAGTCCATAAAATATTTATTGGGAACCGTGCGTTTTATTCGTATTCTCCCTGGTACCGTGCGGAAAACTCACAGCCTGGAATAAAATCCCTTTCTTTTAGGGTATTTAAAAATTTTGGTTTGAAAGCTTTGAATTCATTTCTTCTTAAAAATGTTTGTACTGTAGTAATAGGTACATCAAGAGATATTGATATTGTTTAATGTCTTACCATTTTCGATAACAAAACACACTTTCTCTTCTCTAGAAATTTTTGCAGCTATGTGAAGTTTTTTGAAATTGTTATTAATACTGCATGTTTCTTTAAATTCATTTGAAATTCGGATAACTTTAGTGTGATTCACATTGCGATTAAGATGCCTGGCATTAAAAATGTATATAACTTGTCTGCTTGGAGTATTTTCCCCACACAACAATACCTACAATCTCAACTTTTTCTTCTTTTGTAAGCATCTTGATATTATTTACTTATAATCAAACGTTAACAAAATAAGCAATAACAATAACTAAGGAGTGAATATTTAGCAAATATGGCACGTACTTAATGTCAAACATACGTTTGGTTTCGAAGCCAATTCAAAACACTTATTTTGGACAAGAAAATCTCCAGAAAATCAATGAGTTTGTTCCGAAATACCTATTCTATTTTGATGTTTTGTGATATTATTGAATATTGAGTTCTTGTTATAATACTGTATAATTTTGAGAAATTTTCGATGTTAACAAAAAATAAAATTAACTTTGCACCAAAACTTTGAACATTATTTTACTCTTCAAAAAAATTTACCTTTATTAACACCATAGTTGTGTAATTTGTAATATTACAGTAAACAGGATGCTGTCTATTTATCGTTTTAGCGAATTATTTTTTCGTAGTCCCCATTTAAAAAAAAGTGTACAAAAATAAAACTTCACTTAGATGGCCATGACTTCAAATCTAAATATATTTTTTAATGCTAAACAACTTTTCTGAATAACATTTCCCGACATTTTTCAAAAGATAAGTACTTTACTCTTGTCTCAAAATCAAATATTTGAAGGCTCCTCGTATATTACGTGTGTTTTAGTGTATTTTGTTGATGCATGTTCAGTTTTTGGGGGATGCACAAACTTTTATTAAGGATAACTTTTTGTCGAAAAACCCTTAATAAATAAGATTCCCATAT